GGAAAAGAGTCTCAGAAAGTTCAAATTACTTGGCCAAAGCTGCATAACTAAACTGATTTGAATCCATATCTGTGTCTTCGGACAACCTGTAGCCAACATGATTTCCCATTTTCCCACTCTCAGAAATCGCCACAGTTATGAGAGGGAGTCATCTAGTAAAACCTACTGTCCCTAGTCACCCTTGCATCTGACTACTACTGAGGGAACACTTGTGGGACAGCTTCTAAAAATATTCTGAAAAGGCACACTGGGGCCTTAGTCTCTTTCCTATATCTGAAGCCTGGAAGAAAGCTGTCAGGTGTGCTGTCTTGATCATAGTGATGGTGGCTACGCTCTTGCGATGGTAAAGTGAAGTGTTGGCAGAAACCTCTTTGGGGAACTTCACAAAGCAGAACCAACCAAAGGGACCTAGGAGACATAGCTTTTCCACCTCTGGACTCCCACCTGTCAAGGGTACATTTTAAAATTAATTAATTAATTTTATGGTACTGAGGATTAAAATCAGGGCCTTCATGCTGAGCTAAACCCACATCCTCCTTTTTATAAAATTTTAGATTGGACAGAGTGTCATTAAGTTGCTTAATTGTCTAGGCTGAGCTCAAACTCGTGATCTTTCTGCCTCCCAGAGTCGCAGGATTATAAAGCTTTGCCTCTATGCTTGGATCACATAGCTCATACATCACTGTAATAGCTGAACGTAATTAATATAATTCAAAACTCAGTATCTTGGACGGCATGCTACATGTAAAAGAACAGAACTAGATGGAAGAACTAAGTACAAGTTGTTAGGTACAAGATGGCAAATGCTCAGATTCTTACAGATTAGATTTCTGGAGTTAATTCTTTGGCAGTATAAACATTGGTTTGAAACGATCTTCTATTGTGTAACATATATCATCTGCTGAGTACAACTGTAGCTTGAGGGGGAAGGGTGTGTTGTTTTTTGGATGTTCTGCTACTTTAATTAGAAGTCAGAGAAGTGAGTAAAGCATGGAGAATATTGTGTATGGGCAGAGTCCTAAGGAAATGCAGCTCTGTCCCAGGTGGTCCCTCTTACCTGCAAGCTCATTTGCCTGATTGGGTGGCAAAATGGAACCTCTAGAAATGCGGATTCTGGAAAATAACCTTCGAGAAGTAAAGCTATAGTCCCAAATCCTTTTTCCAGTTAAGGAATATCCGCCAGCCAGGAAATCTTGCATACATCAAATGATGGGAGCAGTCATCTCCTGCAGTAGACTGATGGATTATCTGCGGAAGAGGAGACAGAGAGGAACAAAGTGACAGAGCAAGAGAGGTCAGGTGCCAGGAACAAAGCACACTCTTAAGGCTGGAGCTGTATCTAGGCAAGATCTTTGACTTATTTAGTTTAATGATTGAGAAGAAGAAACAAAGCTACCTCCAGATGATTTAAACATCGCAGAGCAAGGCACTTCTGCTCTCTTTAAGCTCTGTTGCACTGCGGTTGCCAATAACCACCAGTAGAGCAGGCAAGCTTTGATACAGAGAAGCCAGTCAGGAGCAGTTGCAATGGCAGAGAACAGACGTTACCAGCCTGAAATACGGCAACAGCAGCAGAGATGGTAGGGGAAATATGCTCATCAGATTGAGAGAGACAGTAGACTGGATTTACTACTAATCAGATAGAGTTGTGAGAGACAAAGTAAAAGCAAACATAGAGCATTGCACCTGGGTCTGGCTTGGACAGAGGAATAATAAGAGTCCCCAGAGGGGTCTACAAAGTGAGAAATCCCAGGACTGAACCTAGGAGATCAGCGAAAAGTTAAGGTGTCAGCAGTGGAAGAGGCCAGGGGCTAGAAGGGGCCCTCAGGACCAAGGGCTGAGAGATTGATTGTGTTTACTGTGGGAAGTAGAATACAATGAGGAATGAAACTCCTGAAGATCTTTTCATAAGACTCACTGTGAAACGTAGACGGGAAACCACACAGCGTGGGCGTCAAGGCATGGTGAAGAGTAGGCGCTGGTGAGGCTGCACTGTAAGTGATGTGGTTAATGGAGACAAGAGGCAGCCGCTGGCATATCGGGGGCAATTTTGCAAAGTCTCTTTATTTTTAATTTCACAATATTTTTAGTATTTCTATAGGATTCAGAGGAATAGTTCTTTGTGAAGAATTGAGAAGTGGCGGAGAAAAACCAGTGAAGCATTTCAGGCAGTGAGGGTCACTGATTGCAGGGTCAGCATTGAGCAGGTTCATTGCCTCCACTAAAGCTGAGGTGGGGGAGGGGAAGAGGAGGGCAGAGGGAGGGAGGTGGAGAGAGAGAGGGAGAGGGAGAGAATATGGGAGGAGTAGAAATGAATGCCTTTGCAAGTATTGGTTTGTGCAGTGAACACATTTACCTTTAATCTTATTTTCTAGGCTTAGAGAGAAAATGACACCCTTGAGAAATGGTAGGTGACAGTACTTTAGTAGATTTAAGAGCAAAGAAAGTCTGCAAGGCCACCAGGGGAAAGGAGACAAAGCCAAGGCAAGACACACAAAACGAGATGACATGTCTACCTAGCTTCACAGGCAAGGCCAGAAGGATTTCACTTCTATGCTTTGTGAGATCCACGAAGATGGGGCACATCAAGTCCGAGGTGCTGAGGCAGAAACAATAGGGAGACGAGTTGTCTGATACCAACACAGGTCCCATTGCTCTGGTTGGTGCCAAGCAGAGTGAAAATATCCAGGTCTATCACTCAGTGAGGTCAAAACATAACAGTGAATGTTTAATTTTTTTTCCAAAAACATGGCATTAAAAGGTACATTGCCCTTGATCCTTTTCAGGATACTCCCACCTGCTCCAAATACCTTATTCAATTGTTTTGTCACTTTCTGAAGCAGTTCTGAATTCCTCCTTGCTGATTGTTTTTAGTTGTGCTGCTATGGTTGTCTCAGTACTCTGAATCAATTCAAAACATTTACCTCTCCTGGTCATTTTGATGTTAGGGAAGAGCCAGAAATTACACAGGGCCACGGCCAGTGAATAAGGTGGTAAGCGGTGTTTTTATAAGCTGCCTTTCCAACGGAAGGCACGCACTGGCAGCATGTGCTGTGGTTTTGCTCATGTTTTACAAGGACACTCATGAAAGGACTTTCAGAAGTGCTTCAGAAAGGGGCAAGGATAATGGGGTAAGTGTGTTCAAAGTGAGAAGTATTTTGAAAGCACTTAAAAGCAATGTGTTCTTTAATATAATACAATTTGTAAAATTTCAAACATTCACTGTACATTTTGATCATGCCTTGTACCCTGCACGGGACAAGGTCAAAGATTTGCTATTTCCAGCCTCACAAGCAACCTCCTCAAGGGAGGAACCCCGATAACCTACTTCTTACTGGGGTGTTCCCAAAATAGTAATAAGGTTACAGGTAATAAAAACAATAATCTGGGCAAAAGACTCTCGTCAAAGGCCCATTTGTGGTTTGTGCTCTGGTAGCAATGGATGTTTGTTTGGTAGCCAGAAAGGGAAGTGAGCTGGAGATACCTGGATGGGCCCCAGACAGACCCCCTGTCTAAAAATGCCGATGGTGCCTGGACTACTGTATGTTCATTCCACAGAGTGGCTCTGCTTGGGGTGTCATCAGTTTAAGTTTAGTGGCCCTAATTTTCAGTCATGTCTCGCAGAGATTGGAATTTGGTTTTTCCAAGCATTGCTGCCTCCAACATCCCAAAAGCCTTTGTTAGACCAACTGTGGTCCTCTGACTGCCAGGACTCTGAGTGGGGTCAGATTTTTCCTTTTCTATTTTGGTGTCTGTTACAGACTGATGTGTGTTTTTCTCCAGGCCCACTCACATATTGAAGTTCTGATGTCCAATGGGATAGTACTGTAGGTAGGGTCTCCAGGAGGTACTTAGGATTAGACCAAGGAATGAAGGGGGTCCTCAGAGGGGATTAGAGTCCTTATAAGGTACAGTGCTCTCTGTGTCTCCCCACCCCTCCTGGTAAAAGGCCGTATGAGGGTACTGTGAGAGCTCCCTATAAGCTAGAAAAAAGGTGCTTACCAGAAAATAAATCAGCTGGCACCTTGATCTTGGATTTCCAGCTTCTGGAATTGTGAGAAATACATTTGTTGCTTAAGCTACCCAGTCTGGTTTTTTTTTTTTTTAATGATAGCTTAAACTTGGACAGCATCACAGTGTAAAATCAGTCAGAAAATTAAATTTTCTGTGAAAATTCACATTTTCACCCAGCCAAACTCCTCATAGGCAAAAACCTCCTTAGTTTATGAGTAGCTCGGGGAGACCAGATGCCAGTTATATACCTTAAAGTGCAGAGGGCTCAGAGCCAGTCTTGTAGCCCTCCCTTTCTTCAGATTTGTTTGGGTGCTGGGCTCTTTGATGGTGGCTTCATTAGGACTCAATTTTAGCTGGAAACAGGCAGGAGGCACATGCTGAGAGCAATTGCTCCCCGGAGCCATTAAATCGCCTTATTATTTATTACTCTCTAGAATCCTCTAATTTACATGTGATCTCTTCTCATAGGATTGCCTTGAGTGAATCTGAATCTGCTTAGACAATTTTATGGGTATTGTAAAACCACAATTGAATTTCAGACCTTTGTAGTAGCCCAGCTGAGATGTACTCCAATTAGAAATAATTGCTGTTAATGCTGTTTCGAGGTGGTGGATGCCCACTCTGCCCCCAGACCTTTGTTCTGCTAAATCTCCTCAGAGTCTCTTCTTTATTCTTCAACTAAATAGACAGCTCTCAGGATGTACACTCTTGGAATTGTAATACAACAGCAATATTGTGCCTGTCTTTTAATTAACCTTGTTAGCCAAGGATTTGGAACGTCGCTTGGTGAGTGTGAGGGCCTTTGATCCTCGTGGAATACATCGACAGATGAGTGGATACCTTTCTGTGAAATGCAGTGCCTGCCTCTGGCATCCATTAAATACCTTTCATTCTTTCAGTCATTCATGATGTGATGTTCTTGTTTCATGGAATAACATTTGTGAAGTGTTTAGCTTGGTGCCAGGCAAAATAAATATGAGCTATCATTATTATTATCATAAAAGTTTTTTATTTCAAAGGCAGTAGAGGAACAGAATCCTCAAAAACACACAGGCCACTCAAGATGAATCCATCCACAGTGTATTCCACCCTCCACACTGGCGGAGACCCTTGTCTGTCTAAGAAACTTTTGCCCTTAAGATATTAAAGTCCTGAATCAAAATCCTGAAAGAGTTTTTTTGGATCTTACGGAGTCTTCTGAGGTACCTCTCCTTCCATCCTGCTCCCCAAGTGGGGAGCGGACAAAAAGACTGGTGTTCTCCTTGGAGGCAGGTGTCCCACCGGCCTGGAAGAGTTCCAGGGGTACTAGTAATTAACTCAGGTTTTAGCTGTGCTTCTATAGTTAATGTCCAAAGCATGAAAGCAGTTTGCGCGTTGATTAAACTGTAAGAGACAACAGCTCTGAGGTCTGCACTGATGAATTCACACATGTACGAGCGCTCATTCTGGGAAGAAATGAATCAACACAAATCCCAGCTTGAACTTGTAAGTTCAATACTTAAATCTAACCGTATGAATATGGCTTTTGGATCAACTGGTAGCAGTAAATGAAGTCAGCAGAATTTCATTTTCAGAAGAAGTGGCAACCATTCTTTGATTTCTTGCAGTGTTTTGATCTGAGATTACTGCCCATGAGTGCCCTTCAGGACACGTTCATACAAGTCACCAGAGAATGGTAACTCATAGACCTTCAGCTAGACAAGTGCCAAGCAGTCTGAGGATTCAGGACATTGGATGGTAAGTGTGAAACTGTTTTGGAAAGGAAGGCCGTGGGCATTGGCCTTTTCTATACTTGATGGTCTGGGTTTAGAATGGGCAAAGCTGAGAACAAGGGGTTGCAGAATCCAGAGCTCCTGTGTGCCCTGGAGGAAGGGCATTTCATCTGGACACTCATAATGCTGTCCCCAGGCCGCAAAAGCAACCAGGGCCACCTGGTCCATGGGATCCACCTTCACAGTGGCCAAAGCTGGAGTAGTCCATCAGAGAAACTTGTATTTTTCTCACTTCTTTTGCAAATGGAAATGACAAAATTGGGTGTCACTATTTTTTGAAACAAAGAAACAACAACAACAATAAGAAAATCCCCAAACTCAACATAAAAAGGAGAGAGCAATGTCATTTTCAGATACTGGTTGAAAATTCTAGTCCAGGTAGCAGAGTAGAAATATCACTTGTCTTCAAATAGACAAAAAAACTTGTCTTCTTTAGACTAATCATAATGTTGTTCTAGGTATCAGATGCTATCAGGCACAGGGTTGATCTTTAGGTTTTCTTCTTTTGCCCAATGAAGCCATTCATTATGTTAAAGACGCCCAAATAGTCACCAATAAGCAGTCCTGTCTTGACTGGCAGGAAACTAAACAGAATACAAAACAGAAGTAATTTTTGTGGTTATTATTTGTGAAAGCATCTTTACCAGCTTAGCTGAAATTTGTCACTTCTTGTCATAGGTGAAGTCATTTACTTAGGCACATACTATGCAGCCTCAGCGCCATCTACCTCAGGAGGCTGGGCTCTCCACTATGTAGGGTTTGCCTGCTCAGGGTTTCTAGACCTTTCCTGGTTTTACTTATACTGTCCAGTTCACTTCTCATCTCAGTTTCCAAAGCACCACTCTCCTATGTAATGACTAAAAGGAATCAGGGAAGTCCAGTGCTTGTGGCACAGGCTTTGGTGGTAGAAGCATCTGGCTGGGTTCAGAAAATGGAATCTTAGCATGGATTTTTTTATTTAAAGAGAACAAAACAAAACAAAACAGTAAAAGGGTACAAGTAATACAAAATTTCAAAAAAATAAACAGTAAGCAATCACTAGTTAATAGATTACATATTGTCATCTTAGAAACAGGTGTTCAAATTATAAAATTAAAGCATACAAAGTGGATATTCAAACAGTGAGATTGCAAACAGTTCTGTTCAATGATCCAACAAAAACTTAGTAATATGGTTATCTATCTTATACACTTAAATATACATGCAGTTATGTCCTTTAGAGCACTTTCTTTTACTCTCTTTTGTACAATAACAATTACACATTTTTGATTTTATTACTCCCACAGTTCTTATTACTTTTTTTTGAAGAGAATAAAACCAAATGTGACAAAACAAAACGGAGTCAGTCAAAACAAAAGGATGGATATAGTACATGCTGTAAAAATAGAATACCAGGTGATCAACAATGGTTACCATAATGCTTCTTGCTATCTTTTTTTTTTTTTTTTTTTTTTTTTGTCTTTTTCGTTTTTATCAGTACCGGGGATCGAACTCACGACTGCCTGCTTGCAAGGCAGGCACTTATGCCGCTGAGCTAAATCCCCAGCCCCAAGAGTTGCCTATATCATCAGGTATAATAAAATTGAACAAAACAGTACAGAACAAAACCAATAAAACCTAAACATTGGAGACCTTACAGGAGGACTTCAAAAGAAGATAATAGTCAAACCAGAATGAGCATCATAGTGAATCTTATTCCCTTCAAAGTAGTTGCCTATACCCTTAAACTTGATACTATCAAACAAAACAGAATAGAGTAAAATCAGTCAAAACAAGATGGTGAGAGCAATACAGGGGTTCAAATCCTATTAACTTGAGAAGTGTTCTCTTATAACCTCTATTCTGAGATTGCCTTTTCTGATTTTATACTTCTTGATAGCACTTATGACCTCTATGTTATCTTTTCTTTTACGTTTTTGTGTTTCTTACTTCTCACAAGAGAATTTTCATGATGACACAAATTTCCCTGCAGAGAATTTTCATGACAATATAGATTTCCATGTGTGTTGTTGTTTGCTGTACCCCTAACTCCTTGGATGATGCATGGCACCCACAGAGTGCTCCCTAAATGTAGTTGAGTACATGTTTGGAAAAAGGTTTGATGTGAGTCCCTTTAAGGAGCCTCTCTGTGTTTCCTCTAGTCTTCTCAGGGCAATCTAGCCTTCTCAAAACATGGCCCAGAACTAATATGCATACATTAAAAGCATATATATCTTCACAGTTGTTTAGAGGCAAAAAATTAAGTATCATGTTATCTATCAGAGATGGCTTTGCTATACTGCAATCTGCTATTAGACAAGACAATATCCACTGTGCTGTAAATGTACATGCTGTCTAGTACACAGTACATAGTACATTACACTAATCTGTAGTCTCACAAACATTGTCCTTACATTGTAAATGAAGAAACTGAAGCCTGGAGGATACAGGTCATGCTAAGATTCACAGACTTGGTAAACAGTGGGATCATAATCCTTGGATTTCAAATTGCTTTTCAAAGATCCTCTGCCCTGCCTCATACAGGCTCTGCTGGCCATCTCTCTTGTGTGACATGAAGTTTGGAGAAAGTGACACAGTGGTGGCAAATCTATGGCACGTATGCCATAATGGGGTGTTTGTTGTTATTGAAAGCTCTAAAAGTTTCACCATTACTGGTATAGGATGTAAGAATGGGTTTTGGCTCATTGCACAAAGTAGATACAATTCATTAATGAGAAAAATTTCCCAATGTAAGATAAACACATAGTGAAGAAGAAGCATAATACCCTGTTTAAATAATTGAAGAATGGCCACTACAAAGAATGGAACTGCACAGAGAGCTTGTGAACAAAGATAGAGCTGACAAGAAACATTACTCACTTCAGCTCAGCAGAGGATGGTCAACAGTGGAATGTACTTCCATGCAAGGAGAAACTCTTGTGAGGTGATTACTTTATAATACACACAAGTGAGAGCATCTCTCTTTAAAAAGTCATTTCCATCTGTTTCTAGAGAATTTAATAAACCCACCTCCTTCTGGGAAGAAAATAACACTAAGAGTAAGGCAGGGTCCATCCTTTTTCCTGGACTCAAGCAGGCCCTACAACTGTGCCGGTTTGGAGTTAAGTCAACAAAAGGGTCCAGTGATGGGTTCACTAGCACAGGGAATATTTTGCTTTTTAACATAGGAAGAAAATGTTCAAATGGGAAGGAGAACAAGGGAAGGGGGAAGGGAAAAAGAAAAAGGAGAGTAGAAAAAAAGAGAAACAAAGCTTTTGTAAATGGGAAGGAGAAGAAGTGTTAAAGGGAGAAGAGGGTAATGGGGGAAATAAAGACTCAAGATAGATCATGGTCAGGTACAAATTCCCTGTGATTAACGTGATCATCCTGTGTATCAAGAGCATAACAACAAAATTCATTAAAAATTCACTACTTTAAGAGATACATTTTTAGGTGGCTCCTCCTGTTGGGACTTAGAGTAAACTACTGACCGGCGTATTACAGAAGGAACAGAATCTGATATCATTACCTTTTTAAAAACATCATGAAGTATAAAGACTTAGGCACATACAGGTATAGCTGTTCCTGCTGGATAGCATCTACTATCTTTTGGGCTACATATTCTGGTTCCAGAATTGGCAGCACAGTGGGGCTACTACAAAATAAACAACAAAGGAAAACATCAATTAACATTTAGCTCAGCAGCATAAGTGCCTGCCTTGCAAGAGCATGGTCATGAGTTCGATTCCCAGTACCGATAAAAAAATTAAAAAAAAAAACAAAGGTCAATAAAATAATCCCATCAAGCCAGGGATAACAAGACGGAAAGACAGTAACATTTATGTTTTTACCCTTAAGATTTTATGTACTTGTAACGTTTACTCCCTGGTAAGAACATAACCAGAATCTGAAATGAAAAATGGTGATTCTAATGAATTTGGTGATGTTATGATAAACATCAAGGTGAAATCGTGTTAAACAGATGTCTAATGTTTTAAAGCAACTCCCTAAAAACAAATTGCCTGCTGTCTCCATTGGATGCAGCATAGGGATCTGAGCCTCCTATGGATAGGTATAGCTCTCTCCTCCCAGCCCACGCTAACATAATGGCCTTAGGAGGCAGGGTCTTTGGAAAGTCTTTAGGCTTGAGAGTGGAGGTCTTGTGAATGGCTATTCGTGCCCTGATAAGAAAAGCCATGCAAGAGACATACTGCTCTCACTCCCACTCCCAAAGCCGAGAGAGAGTACAACAAGAAGGCAGAAAATGCAAACCAAAACACGGCTCTTCCAGACTCTGGGGCTTACACTTCGCCTCTAAAACTGTGAGAAAGAATCTGTGGTGTTTAAGCCACCTACTCTATGGTGTTCTGATATAGCAGCCCAGAGTGACTCAGTTTTCCTTCAGTGATTTCCAGTCTTGCAGGAAGGAAACAGGTCTGAACAGGGCTGGGTGGTGGAAAGGATTTGGAGCCAGGACAACCCACAGATGCATAAGCACATCCAGGGCCACAGAGCAACTACCAAGTAGTAGTAACTGCCCTAGAAACCATTTCCATTCCACTCAGGATCTAAAACACACGCAAGGAAACGATTTCAAAAGCATTTTAAAGTCAGGCTGAATGTTAGAAAAACACGTTCTAAAGAATTTTTAAAAACAGAACAAGATCAGAGAGATAAGTAATCATTTTAACAATGATTTTTTTTAAGTGAAAAGACATACTTACCTACTAGTACAGCCCTCAAACATTCCAGTTTTTATGAGAAATGGACACACAATTGTAGTTTTGATTCCCTTTTGTTTTTGGGCAAATGTTTCCATGAATATAGATTCAGCAAATCCATTGGCTGCAAATTTACTTGCACAATAATCTGAAAGAAACAACCCTCATGTATACAGACATGCCTTCTTTCTTGCATTTTGCTACACTGTTTTGCAGATGCTGAGACTTGTGCCAACTGAATCCTGATGGAAGCACACAGAATGAAGGTCATGCTAATGGCTTCAGATGGAAATGAGGACTATTTGGGAACAGGACTAGAGACCATTCATGTTGGATTCTGGCAAAAGAACTTGTCTACATTTTGTTCATGCCTTGAGATTTTGTAACTTAAAGGTGACAAACCAGTACATCAAAAGGATAGAACTTTAAGGCAATACAGCATTCACATTACTACATGGGGACTGTTTGATTTTTAAGCCAGATTTACAATGAGAATTGAGAGCAAAGGGAAAAATTTGGAATTTGACCAAAAAAGGAACACCTTTAAAGTTGTGATAAAGGAGCACATGGTTGCTCAGGAGATTACTGCACTGAAAAGAAGCCAAGGGTGCAGTGATATAAGCCTGTACTTTGAGCTACTTGGGCATTTGACTCTGGGCAACTTAGTAAGACTCTATTTAAAAAAAAAGTATAATGCCCTGGATATGATCCCCAGTACTGTACTTAAAATAAAAAAGTAGAGTACTTTGCATCAGCACAATAAGAAAGATGCTCCAGGGATGTCTCAGGAATCAACAAGATGTCACCTACAGCAATCTCAAATACTTTTGGTTGAGGAGAAAGCCCTGGGGAGCCCTGGGGGCAAATAGATAATTATTTCCTCTGAATATATTTATCCCAAGTTCAATCATCCAAGCACTCAGAGACAACTGCAATCATGGTTCAAGTGGGCCCAGGTATAGCTTAGGGCAACATCAGACTTGGCAAAGCCCCTGCAATCTTTGTTTTTCTGGCATGCAGGATGAAAAAGGTAGGGGGTCAGAAAGAGTTACACTGAAATTCCAGAGGAAAACCTGGGTAGCCAGACAGCATGTGGCGAGAGCGAATTTGTTGTAAACGGTCCTTGACAGGGCGGTGTGTGAAGCTGTTACAGTAAGTGAGAGTTGCATGGAAGTTAACAGTGCCAGTCCAGCTGCTGAGGGAAACCACATGCAGTGAGCAGAACTACCCAAGAGAGGCTATGTGGCTGCCGCCAGCAAAACCACGGGGTCACACAGAGGCGCTCAAGCCCTTGGTGCCTCCTGTGTTCCTACTACATGATTTTGGATTTAATGTTTGGGCTCTTGATTTTTGATCTGATTCCTTGTAGTTTTACAACTTTTCTTTTTGGAATGGGAATATTTGGGAGGAAAAGGTAGAGAAGTTTCTAGGATTATCTGAGTTATCTAGGGTAAATGTTGTTCACTGAATCCTTGATCCTCAAGATTCAGATGAGCAGAAAGAGCCCAAGACCTACAGAATCCACAGGGAGCTGAGACATACACTGTGAGGAATATAAAAGACACTTGTTTCCTAAGTGAGCCTGGGATGGGTCAGTCTCAGATGCAAGTTTAACAGCTGCAATATATGTCTATATTATCTCAAAGAACTTAGAGTTATCAGACACGTCACAGAGAGATAATAATAACCCCTAGTGAATTCAAAGAAAGACAGAGTGAAGGATGTCTAGGGCCCACAAACTATAGCGTGAGAATATTTGGGAGGCTAATGGTCCTGAAAATCCTTCTTTTGTGAATCCTGCACCATGACACTTAGTTCAAAAGTGCCTGATCAGCACACTGTTCTTTTTATTACCTAAGGATTACAGTTATGTTTCTGTTACATGAGTTTCAAAGAGCTGCACAAGCTGGGCCCCAGGGTGGTTGTTCCAGGGTCCCGTGGTAGGAAAGGTCAAAATGTTTGCTCCTCCCAAAGTCAGCTCTTGAGTTGGCCCTCTCTGGTCAAAGGTCTCTGTGTGTCTCTACTCCTGCCCACTAGTATCATCAGGTCAGCTGGGTGCTGCAAAGGAGGTAACAATGACCACCACTTCTTGCTGGCTGCCAACCAGTAAAAGACCAAAAAGTTAATTTTAATTTTCTTTAGATGAATACATGGTTTTAAAACTCATAGCCGAGGAGACTACTCAATGAAAATTTTCCAATAAGGCAAGGTAGCCCTCAATACCATTTTGGTAACAGTGGAGGGTCAATCTAATCACTGTACACAAAAGAATATTCACATGAAGTTGGACTGCACCCTTGGGAATCATTAAGTCTTACGCAATCTCCTGGGAGAATGCACATTCCAACGTCCTGTAAGTATAAGTGACAGGCAGTTCTGTAGCACCATGAAGCTGTCAACCTCTTGTCTTACTGACCACACTTCTTGGTTTATTACTATTATTAGAGCATAAGGTCAATGCGGACTTTTAGAGTTTTGATATAAGTTAAGGTTATTAGGAATCATTCAGTTGTAAAATGCTATATTTCTCTTACCTGCAAGTCCATTTACTCCAATTAATCCAGCTGAACTTGAAATGCAAACCAAATGTCCATGGTTATTAGCAATCATGGCAGGTAAAAAGGCTTTATAAGTCTAAGAAGAATGAAGAAAAAATTTTCACATTAAATAGTAGATTATATTCTTTTATCTAAGCTGTTCATATGATTATTATGATTAAATTTTATGTCTCATAAAAGTCACCCAAAATCAATAGGATGAAGGTGACGAGGAAAAAACAGGTGGGAAAAATATATAAAAAAGGGGATTGTGATCTTTGCCTTCATTTTAACCGTATATAACAGTTATATACATGTATTATACAACTGTATATACATATGCATTATATATAAGTATTGTATGTGTAATATATTAATTATGCATAAGTATAATTATACATAAGTATGATTATGCATAAGTATTACACATACATTCACACACAGTTAATTATATAATTCTTCATTCTAAACACACACATACTCATTCATGTGTGTATGTTATGAAGAGGAGGGACATAGGGACATTTGGGATAAGAGATATTATTTGTAGCAGTCGTTCCTACAGTAACAGGATGACCACTGAGTTCTGAATCTTTTCATTTCTCTCCTGAAAACATTACAGAACACCAAGAACACCATCAGTACCACTACACATTCGTTGGAAGCCGGGGCAGAAAATCTACAACTCCGAATCACATTTGAAAGCTGTTAAAGAGGAGTTGGGCAAGGTGGGAAGAGAAAAAAGGAGCCCGAAATCTCCAGCTGATACTCTGGATGAGTCTCGACCAGGAAATGGAGAGCAGTGCACAGGGTTGTAACCAAATGAACCAGAAGCTGGGCGTGGCAGGTGTGGAAGATCAGAGATAGCCAGTCTCATTTATCAAAGGACAGCAACGCGTGACCACTGGAGTAAGGGCATCGCTTGGTGAGTCAGGGCTGTGACCATGAATGCTACGACTGAGAGAACTTCTCCTTTCCCCAGTGAGGTACCAAGTAAGGGCTTGCGTCACCTCAAATAGAACTGGTAATACTTGCTAATTAATAACCCTCCTGCCCACTTTTGAAAGCATCTGTGCTTAGGCCAACTGTAAAGTTAGCCTGGTTATGTCTAAGTACAGTTTCCTGCTATGCAGCCCTAAACAAATCTTTTACGTTCTGTGTTCCTTTAAACATCTCGTTTAACTTTCTTAAGGATTATAGTCATCCTTCAATACTCTGGGGATGATTAGTTCTAGGAGCCCCCCACAATTATCAAAACTCCAGGATTCTCAAATCCCTGATATATATTGATGTAGTATCTGCATATAACCTATGCATATCCCCTCACATTCTTTAAATAGTTTCTAGATGTACTGAACACAAAATACACGCTATGTAAACAGTTGTTAAAATGTATTATTTAGGGATAGTGATAAGGAAAAATGCTTGTCCACATTCAGTATAGACACAAGTATTTTTCTGAATATTCTGACATGATTGGTTGAATTCACGGACGTGGAATCCACAGAAATAGAAGGCTGACTATGGATGTGAGTTGCCTGGGATCTCAATATTGCAGCAATCAGTAAATAACAGTATAGTGCAAAAACAGTTTTTTCTCTATAGCATTCCCTGAAAAGAGATTCTTGGAGCTACAGATTAAGTTGGATCAAAACAGGACAACTGGGTGGACCAGGACAAGTCCAAAATTAAAGTATTAAGGCTGGGAACATAACTCAGTAGCGTGCTTGCCTTAGCAAGCACGAACCCCTGATTTCAGTCACTAGCAACACATACATACACACAGATACCTACACACACACACACACAATTAAATCTGTGCCCTATTTAGAAACTGGCAATATAAAAAAGCAAAAGAACAGTACTTCAGAATGCTAGAATAATTTTATATTAAGAGAAGAAAAAATAATTACCCATAAATGTGCTTTACAATTCACATCAAAAGACTTTTCTATAAGCTCATCTGGGCAATCAAGAAAGCTTCTGCCTGTTACAATTCCAGCATTGTTGATTAGGATGGAAACATCTCCAACTTCTTTTTTAACCTGAGTGAAAAATAAGAATGATACCACCATGGTGACATTTTCTTACATGATGTAGGTTTTATTTCCTGAAGGTTATATATATATATATATATATATATATATATATATATAATATCATCTTATTATGTTTCTTTTGCAGAGTCTGGTTTACTAGAGATCCAATTCTGATGTCTTTTCACAGTTAAGATTGCATTTATACTCTGACTAGTAACTTTGTTCTATGCTCTATAATAGTAGCACGTCATTTTAATCAGTGCAATGGCACATAAGAATAGCTTTCTTATAACCAAATTATACATTGGCCAAGATCATGGAGATGGGGCAGAGTAGGGAATAAATGGAGAAAGATGATCTGTGAGTCATTTTTCTTGCCGCAATACTGGATGCTGTAGGTGTTTAATCACTTTCACTTATGAAATAAAACTTCTAGGTAGAGCATTAGAGTCTTTCCTTCTATTGAAACTTCAGAGTATAATCTCAGCTTTTATGTGAGAAGTGGGCACAGACTTTTCCAGGATTAATGACAGGCTCTGAATTGTGTGACTGTAATTTAGAGCTCACAGCAGTGGCCCTGATGTAGAGGTCTCTCCCTGTGCCTTGGTGGAGGTTCACGGCAGGGCTGCTGTGTGTGTGAGTGTGTGTGCGTGCGTGAGCCTTTGCCACTCTGGGTGGTACAAGGTGTGTTGGTGCAGTAGGGCGTAAGTGAACACCTGTCACTGAGGCCATGAGAAGCTGCCGTCTTCTCATCTGCTGTTTTCCAAGACCTGGGTCCCAGCATCAGGGTTCTATGTTTTGGGCATTTACTCCAGCCAAGTGACTCGGTAGCTTAGGAAATATTTAAGATGAAGTAGACACTAAGGGAACTTGATGTTTTATGTTAGAGTTTTCAAATAAAAGCATCAGAAATAATCTGAAAGTTTGATTTGGCATGTGGTTAAAATATTTTATCAAATCCAACTTGAACAGTAGTCAAAGGTACAAACAACATTTTTTCCTGCCATTCCTGAGGCAAAAGCAGAAATCAGAAAAAGACTTAGGCTGGAAGACAGTACTAGTGTTAGAGGCTGGTGTTCTAACTCAGGATCAGGATGGAAAAGCCAGAGCTTACACCAAAGAGAAATAGACTATGTGTGCTGATTTACTACTGCTGAGAAATACCAACACAGTAAAACGCTCATGCTTGGGATTGAGAATAAACTTGTTGGCCTTATGCTTGTTTTAGAAGGGCCCAGAGGTCACAGCTAAGGGAGAATGCAACCAATTCTAGTTCTAAGTGAGGCAACAGTGTATTTAGCTCTGTATTACAACTCTTGCAGAACTCACATGTGGGCTGTGTCCATCTTTTGGCTAGGCACACTCTATTCATGCTTAAAACAAAACAAACACCTGCTGGGCTGTGTCTGAGTCTAATGTAAACTGTCAAGGAGACTGACATGGATTATCCAAATATGAGGTTTTACAACCGCCAACTCATAGGACTGATGGCAGTAGAAAGAGTTCTGCTTCCACCAGTGATCATGTAGTCTATAGTCTCAGGCAATAGAATTCAGTAATCAACTTTATACAAATTTTCATATAAGTAAATTCAAGAGCTTAACTGTGGGTGCAAATCTTAGCTCACTGGCACACTAGCTCTGTCACTCTGGGAAGAATAGCTTCCCTTGAGCTCTTTCTGTACTTTTCGCATGCTTCCCGGTTGCCTCCTCTGCTCTACTGTTTCTAGCTCAAAGCCAGACCAAACAGGGAGCCAACTCCCGAACAATACATTTTAAATTAAAGGAACATTAGAGACAGGCAAGGGGGTTTTAAGAAATGCAAGTGAACAATAAAACTGATGTGATAAATGCCCAAGTATTTACAGAAGGCTTTGCTGCCCATAAAATATGATGAGTTCCCAAGATTCACCTGCTCAGCCACTCTATAGACTTCTTCCTTTCGGCTGCAGTCGCAGGTATAGGCGTGCACCCTGGTGGTGCCGGTTTCCTGAGCCATCCTGCGCGTCTCCTCATTGGCCTCTGTATTGACATCCCAGAGAACAAGCACGGATCCCAGGCGGACAAAATGCAAGGCGAGGAGCCTCCCAAGTCCACCCCCAGAGCCCGTTATAAGGACGATTTCGCCAGCAACACTCTTCCGTGGCTTTGGAATTACAGAAAACATCAGACTCATCGAACCACTAAAAAGTAATTTTCCTAAGAAAACAAGCAATCCCATTGTGGTTTTCAGGTAGGAAGACATGTTCTGGCTGACACCTAAAAAGCAAGACAGTTGCTTAGTACGTGGAGCTCCACTTTTTGACATAGTGAAAGTAACGGAGAAACCTGATTTAAACACTGTTCCTGGTAACAGCTTTTGAACCACTCCAGGGGCAGGATTACCCAGTCACCCTGGGAAGCCTCCAGCAACGTTCCTTCCACTGGGAAATCCACACCAGCTGACTCAGTCAGGCCTCCATGCCCCCTTTTAGCCTTACCACTGTTTGACTCAATGCCAGAAGACAAAGGTCTACGCAGTGGTCTTCAGCACAGTGGTGACTGAAGCCTCATCATTGACCTGGGTGCCAAGAAAACTCAATGCCAGGGCCTTCTAGACTTCAGTGTGAGCGATGCTATATGCTGTGAGACCTAAAGCAAATCTATGGTTTATCTGTGTCTTAGCGAATGCTCCCTGCTCTCAAGTACTTCAGAGCTTACCTTGAAGTTGCCTCCTCCACCTGAGGCTCAGGAGGGATGTTTGTTGCTCACAGCCATAGGCAGTGGTGACCAGGTATTCAGCTTTGGGCTGGAATTCATCTCTCACTGACTTTCTTTGCAACTTTGGTAAAATCTGTTTCATCTTTTGTGCCCAGTTTCTTTCTTTCCAAAGGTGGAGATCTATGCGTCTGCACCTATACGTACCACACAGGGAGCTGAAGAAGCAAAAGAGAATACAAATGGCATATTAAGGAGCGTTATTAGCTCATTACTGGTCCACAGGAAACAGCTGAATGAATCGCAGCCCTATGAGCAGGCATGGTCCCACCAGGTGCAGTGGGGGGACTCAATTCGCTGCATTTCAGTGCTATTAGGTTGCACATCACCGCCCCTTCTACCCCCCAGGCTCTATAAGGTGGCACGACCCATATAGCAGATGCCTTGCTACAACAGTGCCAAGCACATAAAGATGGTAAAATAATTACAAATGGCAAAACAAATTCTCCTTGCTCTACCAACGAAAGCCAGGCACAGTAAATACTGCAGATAAAAGCAAACGTACATTTCCAACTTAATGTAATGATGCATCCTTGGGAAACTCCCAGTGCTTAAATCTAATCAGGCTGTGGAGGGTCTTCGGTGTTTTCAAGCCACAGCACACTCTGAACACTGGCTGAGTTATCTTTAGGCACTGTGCATAGGCACACTGATTCCCAGGCCTGGGGGGCGAAGGGGGTGTCAGGCAGACAAGCTCCCAGCCACAGCTTCTGCTGAAAGGGGCGAATAGGTGGCAAAGACGAGCAGCAGTGAAAGCACTGAATAGCAGAAAGCAGAGCCGGAGCCTGGGCAAAAGACACAGAGAAGCTACCACCGTGGATGGCGGCTGGCCGGTCATCCCGGTTGCGCGCGCGCGCGTGTGTGCGCGCGTGGCGGGGAGTGGTCCCCCCCTGCGGGAGCTGGGGCTTGGGGAAGCTTCCACCAAGAGCACGCGGCTGGCGGGTCGCTGCCTCCGGCTTGGTCCCTTTATCCGGATCCGGACGCCACAACCCGCCCTCGCCGCGTTTAATCCGCAAGACCCAGGCAGAGGCTCCCAGCCGGCTCGCGCACTTCCTCCGAGCGCAGCCTGCTGGACAGGCGGTCCTGGTAACTTAACTGGGATAGGTTCCCCTGCGCTCCCCTGAGAAGCTGGCCTTGTGCGTCCCAGGAATCCGCGTTCACGGCTCCCAGCTCGGTGAGGTCCAGGCGTTTATCCCGGAACCCACAGAGCACAAGTCCAAGGGCGGGACCGCAGCTCCGGCAGGGGTGGGGCCGCCCGCATCCGGGGAGGGGCAGCGGTGCACCCCTGCGCGACCTCTGGGCCAGCGTCCTTTTTCCTTTCGGGGGTGGGGAGTGGATTTAGAAGTTGAAAATTCGATGCTCGCACTCGAATTTCCTTGATGTTTAAAATTTCCGGTGCTCAAGACACCCTGGATTATTAAATCAGAATTTTTCTGTTGGAAGTCCTGCCTCCCACCGGGCCAACCCCATAGACTTGCGAAGCATCTGTTTGAACTTCACACAGATGAGACTCTCAGGGTCTGAGTCCTCCGCCTGGGATTCAAAGTCAACAGCTTCTTGGCCCTTGTCAGTAATGTCTGTGGGCATGAGTTTGGGAGTCGCCCTCGAGGTGGGCTGGAACTGGTTTGAGAAGTTACTCCCCTGGTCGAGACCAAGGAGACATTTATTCTGTGGAGGAGGAACTGAGAAATAAAAATGGAGTAAGAGTCCACTTTGCACTCTGACTTGTTTATTGAACATCTATTTTTTGGTGTCGATTCAGAAGATACAGCAATGATATGTACCAATGAATCAGAAAAAAAATGACAGGTATCTACTTATAAAATCGGTGAGTGTAAGTCACCACTGGAATGCTTATAACAGAGGGTGGAGTTTAGTGGGTGGCACAAGGAATAGTCACGACAATAAATTAAATCATAGGGTGTTGAAGGGAAGCAAGGTTTGAGAATGGTTGTGAAATTCACTTGAGGGCCAGGTGCAGCCTTAGCCAATCATACCTGGGACAGGTTTAGAAGGAGAAACTGCCTGTCTTTATTTGGGGAAAAAGAAATACAGGTTTTATAACCCTGGAAAAATAGGCGCAGAGAAATGCTGTGAGTGTTTTGCAGCTCTTGGGTTCCTGGGCCAGCCATGAAGATTGAAGTTCTGTGGGAGCATCATTGGTGGGGGACGTGTTGTGCCCTGGTGTCAGGTCAGCTCTCCTGACCCAAGCGCGTGTGCTGTGCAGTGGGGGGCCCCAGGAAACATCAGGGCTTCCAAGCAGCCTTGGGAGACACTTGTGCACTCTTGCACCATGAGGATGAGAGATAAGCACCTCAGGTAACTCTGAGGTCCTCGGAAGAGGGACGCTTAACCGGACTCAGAGGGAGCTGGATTGTAAGGGACTTTCACTGCTGAAATGGAATAGGCCAAGGTCAGAAGCGAGCAACACCTCTGGAAAACAGAGCGGATGAAGCCACAGAGAAGTGGGCTAATGGAGACCAGGTCGTGCAGCCTGCGAGAGTTCACACGGGTAGATTTCAGAAAACACCAGCCTTCCATTGTCTCTAAAGCTTTTCTGAACCCCCACTCTGCTTTCTGGTCAGAAGTTGGGGGCAAGCTTTGAGAAGCAATTCCTGAGCATCACCAGCAATCTCATCTACACCGAATATGGCTGAAGACAGTGGAGGGCACACAGCTAATTAGTTAAAGGAGTCAGAGGCCCTGCTGTGGTGCGGAAGGTCTGGCTTACACTTGCTGTGAGGGAGGGAGACACAGAAGTGGGCACCACCTTGAAAGCTGACAGAGGACTTTTAAAGGCAGACATGGACTGTTCCTGTGCAAAATGTTGAAGAGTTAGTTAAGAGTAAGCATGAAGAAACAGTCTTAACTACATCTGCACCTTAGACCTCGTTACCAAAGAGTTGAGTAAGAAGTTCATTGCCTTTCAGACTGACACACATTTTGAGAAAGGAGTGTCTTTATGTGAGGTGGTGAGCATTATATAATTCTGGATAAGCTATATATAGCTTATCAGGAGCTAGAATGGTATATGTCCCTTGACCTGGTACTACCCATGAGACTTTTATCTTTCCTAGAGAATCAAGTGCTGTTTGTTTTCCGCAGGAAGAGAAACAGGTCCTGGGAGTCAGGAGTACAAAAGAGGCATCATGCCAGAGAATCATGTCACATATTACTTTTTCAGGAAATAGTGTAGCAACAAAGAGCACGGATCATAACTTCTAAAAAGTATGTACAGATGGGAGTGCTCTGTAGCTATTTGTATAAAACTATATTTTTCAAGGCTTTGGAAAATAGACCTTAATTTTATGAGTTTTAAAAATGTAAAACTAAATATATACTATGATCTAAATTTTTAATAAGATTTTATTTAGAGGCATTAAAACAGCAAGAGTTGTAGGGAGCGGTTTTGAATAGCTGCTGCTGCCCTGCCCCTCCTGCCTGAGGGCATTTTGTGTATCAGCCTACATTTCCCATGATCCTCCCCTTGCCTGCAATGCACATGACAAGCAAACTTGCTGTTTCAGCCTGCCTACATTACCCATAATCCTCTCCTGCTTACATCATATAACCGAATGTGACGATGACCTATCAGATTAAGCCTTCTTCCTGCCTATGGCCCGCCCCCACCCTATATAAGTTGTAGCCATTTTGATAATAAACGAGACTCGATTGGAATCTCATCCTGTCTCCATCTCTCTTTTCTCTTGTCCTGCCCCCATCCCCGATCCCCTCTCCAGGTTGAGACCCATAGATTGGTCCGCAGGCCGGATCAAAGAGTGATTCACCATCTTAACATTTTAAATTTTATTAGTGATTAATGGAATTTGATTGTTTTTAAATTTTTCCCTGGGCCTTTTTTGCATTTTCCAAAGTTTGCATTCTGTATGTTTTTATTCATAATAAAAATGTTACTGAGGACACACATATCCAGGTATTTCCATTGCTGATGGTGGAATAAGCGTACATATACATGTCCTAGTTTCTTTCAAAAATTTCATTGAAATTAAAGAGAAGAGCCAAAAATGTAAATAAAGACATAATAGTGCTAAAGAGAAGAAAGAAAGCAAGAGGGAACCCACTGAAGAAAGCAAGAGAAACCACCTATAAGGGCTGACTAAAGGTTGATAAGCAGATGGATCTCATTTCCAGAAATCAGATCGAAAGATAGTGTAAGCTAAAACACACTCAGCAAGTATTACAAACATGAGTCATCCTTCCTAACAGAAACCCAAAGAAACTCTAACACCATGAACACAAGGAGCAGAAATAGGACACTGGACACCTAGATGGACTAAAGAATGTTAAAATAAGAAACAAAATAAATTATTGAGATAAAATGTAGGAAAATTGTTTTGTTACTGGGAAAAGCAAGACAAAAATTCAGCATAAATTTTTGCTATGACAAAAATAAAATGTATGTGCTCATGTACGTCAACAATAATAAGCGAAGTCAAATGACAGATGAGACCAAAATTTTTTTCCATAATGAACTGACCAATGCTAGTTAACCATACTATATAATATTTCTGTAAACCAGTCTGATTAAGAAGAGGAAAATGGATAAATTAATGAGCAATTTGCAAACACATACAATAATTGGAAACATTTTTTTGTGTGTCAAAGTTTTGATTAATCTCTTAGATAATTCAGTGCTTCAATTTGCGATCCTCTCACCTCAGACTCGCCAGTACTGGGATTACAGGCATTAATAACCAATCCCAGCTCAATATTCACATATTTAAAGGTTATTAAGAAATTCAGGATTTTTTCCCACATTCTTCAATGTGAGAGTGTAAACTGCTGTGACCTTTGTGGGTAATTAAGTGGGCAGTGGATATCATGTCTTTTGACTGTTACTTCACGTCTAGGAATCTATATGAAATATTGATACACAGAAATAATTTTCACTGAAGCATGTTTGTAACAGCAAAACAAGAAATTGCCTAAATTCATATTTATCCCATTAATCATGTAATTGTAGAGTCATGTAGTAGAATTGTATGAAACTGACAGAAACAATAAAGCTCATACTGTATTTACTGGTAAAGACAGATTACCAGGTAATATTAAGTGAAGAAAAAGTACAGAATTATTTCATTGAAGTTAATTTTACAATTGCATTGTTTGGGTTATTTTTCTAGGTGTACCTCTGTGTGTGCATGCACATGTATAATACAGTTGGAAACTCATAGAGGATTGGATCTGGAAGGATTATGCACTAAATTATTCAGACTGGTTACTCTGGAGGGAACAGAATTGTGTGAAGAGCAAAGGATGGATTCTCATGTTATGTTTATGTTTCTGCACTATTTGACTTTTACACATGTCATTCGTTATTTCATGATACTAAAAAATGACACATGAAAAATTTCTGCCTTAAAAAGACATTTTAAGAGCATATTGTCTTTGCGAACTACTTTGGAAGATGGTAGAAGTCCATTCGTCAGATTCAAAATATATCAGTTTTATCCAAAGTTAGCATTTTGGTTAAAGGAGATTACCAAATTCTCAGAGAAGACCAGCATTAGGGCGAACACAGATTTGCTTGCTCTAAGATAGGAAGAAAGTCATGTTCCCTGGACCAGAGGTAGGAACAGAGAACTCTGACTTAACAAAAATAAGTAATACCAGTGGACAATTAAAGAAGTATAGGAGCCAGGGCATAGTTATCCTGCTAACTTTTTTCGAGAGGAAAGTAGTCACATACAAAAGAAAAAAAGAAAGCTAAGTCTCAAAGAAGACCCTGATAGAACTGCACAGAATTGGGATTCCCTGTGCACCATATTTCTCAGGAGAGCCTGGCACAGAGCCAAGCACTGTACCTTTCACCAAAAAAGACAAAAACGTAGGTTGTTATATATTAGGTTTTGCTGTTATTTCAAAATTGTTACCATTGCTCACAAACAACTTTTTCTGAATGATTTGCAGTGTCAATCGTGTGGTAATGAACTTGTGTAGACTTGGCCTAGATTGTTGTGCCAAGATTGCTCACATCATGTCAGAAGCCGAGCCAGAGACACCAGTGTCTCATGGCCTAGGTAAGCTTTGACCTCTTTTCATGTTGTCATTATTTCATCAGATTTCTT